TCCTATCATGCAAGATTTCATCATAGAATACTAATTAGTATAATCCTATATCACATTTATTAAACATTCAAATTGAATTGAAAAGTGCCTACAATTTGTGTAAATGACACACACACACACAAACAACAAAAGGTCAATTTTACCATAAACTATCTTAAAATATTTTTAGTTGTGCTGTTAACTCTAATTTATATATAAATGAATTCAAGAAAGTCTGTGTAAAGAGAAATAACACTAGCTATTAAGCATAAATGGAACTTGTTAAATTACCATTGGTTTTTGAACCAATTGAAACTTACTGCCGACATCTGATCTTTCTGTCTGTATATAGACACACACAATTACAATTAACACTAAAGTAAAACAACAGCTATATATACCTTGTATCCTGGAAGTTCACCACCTTCCCCTGGTTTGGCTCCTTGAGCCATTTTAATTTGAATTTCATCAGAATTAGCCAAGTAACCACTGGTAACTCCAAACCTTCCTGAAGCTACCTAAAATGACATTGTTGTTGAAAGGTAAATTATCAAACCCACATTCTAACACATTGATCAACACTACAGCAGGTTATTTACTATTTATTGAAGAGAATAATTGTTTAATTATTTTTATGATAGAAGCTTCTTCACATCATAGAAAAATCAATAATGTGCTATCAAGAAGAACTGATAATTCTGACAACTTTTTATTATAGAAAAAAAATACACAAGTAAAAACTACAACAAAATAAACAATTTACAAGTAAAACTATAATGATTAAGATTTTCTTTGAAAGACGTTATATTCTAAGAAAAGCCAATGCCCTAATTATGTACAATACATGAGCACAATAGAGTACTTCTCCTATCAAAGGATGTCAGTAGAAAACGCAGTAGCAGAATGGGCATCTCATCTCCAATTCATGCTCATTTTCAGTAAAACGGCAAGTTTAGCAATCAAAATGGAATTTAAATTTGCAAGTTTACTAAAGTAGATATTTAGATTAAAGAAACATGAACAGAAATGTAATTCTGTAAGAAAACAAACTGTAGAAAAATCAAGTAAAAACATTAGGTTCTCTGACTACGTGAAACTGTAAATAATCACATGTAGAAGAGGTTAGATGGATATGTAACATCTTTTATAGCAAGGAGATTTCAAATTGAGCATACGATGTTGAAAAACTAAAAACAGTAAAGAGAATAACCTGTTTTATAGCAGAACGTGCATTAGATTCAGGGTCTTGATTCAGCCATCTATCAGCATCTTCACCTCCCTCACCTGTGTTAGATTTTGCAGAAACTCTATTCATTGCTAAAGCTAGAGTTTTATGAGCTTCAATAGAAATGCTTCCAAAACTCATTGCTCCTGGAAAAAAAGATTTCAGCAGTCATATTTTGATTATTTTCAATATTTGAAAAGGTTTTTCGTTGTACAAAACTTGAAGATAGCTTTGATATACGGAAACATCCATTAGCCGAGTTCTTGCACAGATCTTAAAATATAACAATGATAAACGGAAACATCGGCACATGTAGATACGTAGATCTTGAAAGTAGAGTTGTTCAAAACTTGAAAATAGCGTTGATAACTGGACCAATTGTTGCAAAGGAAATATCTGCTGAAGCTTTTCGCCAGACACTAATCATAGCAGAACCGTCTGGAAAATTATCTACAGCTTATAAAAGGAGTCAGATCAACGTAGGCCTACACTATTTTCAAGTTTTGAACAACTCGACTTTCAAGATCTACGTATCTACATGAGCCAATGTTTCCATTTATGAACGTTATATTTTAAAATCCATGCAAGAACTCGGCTTACAGATATTTCCGTATATCAAAGCTATATTCATATTTTCAATATGTTATATTAAGTTCTCTACTATGAAGTAAAATATTAAATAAATTTCTAAAGTATAAAATACAATAAATCATAAACTAACACTATAATGTGATGATTATAGTATTCTATGAAAACTGAACTGCAACTTTTTCTGCGTCTAACGTACTGAAAATTATTACAGATTTATAAATTATTCAGCATCCAAATATTGCACCAAAACAATAAACAATAAAAACCAGATGGAAGTTTAAGTGAAAACACACCTGTTGCAAACCTCTTCACTATTTCTTTGACATCCTCTACTTCAGAAATGTCAACTGGTTGTTCACTATAGACAAGTTCTAACTGACCTCGTAAAGTACAGTCTCGTACACTTTCCATTGTTGCCTCTAAAAACATTTTGTAAGCTTCTTGACTGTTAGACCTTGCAGCATCCTAAATTAATGAAATAAAATTATGGTCAAAAATATTCATTTTCCACTCAAAACATGTTTCAATCTGACTCCCCCTACACTAATTGTATTTTCATTTATGTAACAAAACAAACATCATAATTACTATTTGCTTATTTATTAAAGCATGATGCTATTACAACAATTAATACAACTCAATACCAGTTCAAACTTTTACAGAAATCCCACTATTTGCTTTCATTAAGGTAAAATATTACACTACTTGAGAATTCAATTTCATACGAATTCACGTTCAATCAAAGTTGTTGCTATCCCAGCCTTTTTCATGTCAGATAGGCAAATTTATATTGATTTCTAACCTATCAACTAGGATAACCAGTGTAGCAAAGATGATGGGAAACAGTTATGTTAATCTGTTCTTTCGCACGTATTCCAAAGCATATTTTAAGAGTCGGCTTAATCACCCTTCATGAAAGAGCCTACAATGCTTCACACAGTTCTGTTACACTGACATCAACTGCTCCACCATATGATAATTTCATTTGAACATCCATACTGTGTTTTTTGTAAGCCCCCATGTCAGTAATGAGCTGTGTTCCATCAGTTATTATATTAAAAGTTAAAAACTACAAACACAAAGTATATAAGAAAAAAATTAAAAAACCACAAAGAATATAAGAAAAGTTTATGTCTGTGTTATTGTTGAACGCAGTGAAGTAATACCATAGCAATCATATCAGCTTATTCTAGACATCCTTTCACAGATAGTGCACTTATGAATCTTTTGGATCATACTTCTTCTAAGGGTATTCTTTCATGACAAGAATAAACATAGCCAAATGTTCAACAAATCTTCTTTAATGACAAGAGTAAACATAGCCAAATGTTCAACAAATCTTAGGAAATTTGTATTTACTAGTTACAAAAACTTTTCATGACTTCCACAAAGAGCAATGTTTTGAGTTTCATGGACACTTTATCAAGTACAGCCATGGCCGCATTAACCACGGCACACTTGCACCAGGGTCCCAAGCAGTGAGGGGCCCCTACTAACAATCCGAACCATCAGTTTAACACTACTTTTTCAATAAATCTTCATATTTTATCTGTTATTTGTCCTATTGTTACTCAACACAGACAAGATCAATCTGACTGACCTCATAAACACGATAAAAATTATTGTAGATTCCTCACCCAATGTTTCACACTCAGATCAGTTACTTATAATATTGCGACACGTGGACGAGGAAGGTGATACGTTAGAACGTTTTGTTGGTTACGACTCTTCAAGTGGGCATACAGGAAAACTAATGGCTGAGGTTGTCATAGAAAAATTAAATAAGATGGGAATCGACAAACAAAATGCATGTGGACAATTATACGATAATGCAGCAAGTATGTCTAGTACATACAACAGCCTACAAGCACATCTCAAGACCATAAACCAATATAATGATTCATGCCTTGTGCAAGCACATTCATTAAATCTAGTAGGCGTGAATGTAGTGGAAAGTTACGAATGTGCATAAAACTCTGTACAAGTTTTGTGCTTCTTCAACCAACCATTGACAAAACATTTGGGATGGCTTAAGAAGCAATGACAGGAGGTTAGTTACTCTTAAGAACCTCAGTGGAGCAAGATGGTCAGGCAGATCAGTTTCAACAAAACTTCTGTATGAAAATTATGACAGAATTTATACCACCCTTGAAGATTTATCTAAGGATATTGATGCAAGGTAAACAGTAAGAAATGAAACTACTGCTCTGATGAATAAAATGAGAATGTTAGATATTGCTTTTATGGTAGTGTTTTGGTATAAACATTTTTAATACTACAAGTGCTAAGCTTCAAGAAAAAAGCTTTGATTTGTCCACTGCTGTAAAGCTTATCAGTTTGCTGAAGGAATATGTAAATTTACTATATGAAGAATTCGATAGAATCAAAATTCAAGTTCAGCTTTCAAGTATAGTAGAACGGTTTAGGAGTGAGATTTCTAGAAATATAAAAAGAAAGCTGGCAAACGATGAGACTTCTGAAGGTGTAACAAGTTTATCTGGAACTCCGAAATAAAAAAAATAAAAAATCGGCTTGCTGCATATAAAGCGACAGAAATGAAGTTTGTTTTTCTATCCAATTTCAAAAATGTAAATGAGACTGAAGTTTCTGCTGCAGCTAAAAGATTGGGAGACATATCGTCTCCAGATCTAAACATCTCTTTTCCCGATGAAATGGTACAGTTTGCAAAATTTTTTTTATTGTGAAACACTATCTACCCAACAATGCATCAAAGGAATCAGAAAAAACAAACTCGAATCTGTTTTTCCTAATGTTGACATGGCATTAAGAATATACTTGTGCCTACCTGCCACAAATTACAGTGCAAAGAGAGCTTTTTCTAAAATATCTAGAGTAAAAACTTAATTGCATACTTTAATGTTAAATGAATGCTTAGATGCCCTTTCTTTACTCAAGTTAGAAAGGACATTGCTTAGACAAATAGGTTATGAAGATGTAATTAGAGATCCCGCTTCCGCCAAAGCAAGGAAAAAACGATTTTAGGGTAATGTTTTGGCATGCTTCTGTAATGTTGTACAATAACAATATTGTTTTTTTTTGTTGTTTTTTTTTTTTCTTATGTACCTAGTTCATTCTTACTGACCATGTTACAGAAGTAAATAATAATAATTATTATTATTGTAATTGTTTAATTTTAATACATCATCCTTAAAAGATAGATGCATAATATTTAATTTACATCGAATAATTAGCTCATATTCTGTACTTAACTTAATATGTTTTAATTCTAATTAACTTCAAATTTGCTTGTACACTATTCAAGAATCCTGAAAAAAATAAGCGTACCAGGGCCTCAAACTACCTTAGTGTGGGCTCGAGTACAGCTCCCTCTGTTGTTTAATAAGATGCTGATTTTCTGTATCAATAGTTTGAAGTAGCTCTGGGTGTTTTGCTAATTTTAAGTCAAACTGAAAATGCTGACAAATTCTTCAATTGTTCCATTTCACAGTAACGAAAAGTTATTTGTACTTAAATAAAACCGAATAGCATATAGCTGAATACTGAAGTTACTCTCTTCGTACTTCTCCACTGAAAGGAATCGTGTATAGAATTCCTTCCCTTACGTTACTCTCTTCGTACTTCTCCACCGAAAGGAATCGCGTATAGAATTCCTTCCCTTACGTTACTCTCTTCGTACTTCTCCACCGAAAGGAATCGTGTATAGAAACTGTTTTTGAATTCCTTCCCCTTCTTGTCTTTGGAAAAGTAAAATGTCTGCAGCTGTAATGGACTCATTTTCACTAACGATTATCACACATTTGAGTCAATTTTTTGTGACTTTTTGGATCACCCTAATCAAATATGCACATATAATTTTTTACTCATTTTAATTACTTTGAAACATTAATCTTTTTCACTAGTTAATTTTCTTATTCCCATTCTTATTCTGCATGCATTCTGAAACATAAGAAAATCTTGCACCCTACCTAACTTGTTCATCTCCCATTTTAAATAGTTTCCAGCTACACATCTTTATTCCCTGTACTTTTTTAAAAAATGTAAGATTTCTACAGTATAGGGTGTGAAACTGAATTTTCTGCATCCACTTATCCATTGGTTACTTGCAGAAAATGTGCTCAACTAGGGAAAACTTAAGAGGTGGTATTATAAACAAACATTGATTTTGACATATGAATTTACTAGTAAGATTATTTTTTATTTTGCAGCCCCTTCCACTTTGCTACCCTAGGCAGTTTCTTACTTTGCTTATCTAATAACATCAGCACTGGATATTAAGTTCAATACGTATCAGGAACAATCCATATAATCATGCAAGTATAAGACAGAGCACTTAGTAGCAGTTTAACCCATTAACTGCAGGTGACGGATATTTCTATGGCTCAGCTACGAATGACGGAAATATCCATCAGTCGCACACACATAACTATAACTCTACGAATGACGGAAATATCCATCAGTCGCACACATATAACTATAACTCTACGAATGACGGAAATATCCATCAGTCGCACACATATAACTATAACTCTACGAATGACGGAAATATCCATCAGTCGCACACATATAACTATAACTCTACGAATGACGGAAATATCCATCAGTCACACACATATAACTATAACTCTACGAATGTCGGAAATATCCATCAGTCGCACACATATAACTATAACTCTACAAATGACGATAATTACCATTTTATTGTGATTTATGGCAACTCAGTTTTATCTGCGAGTCAGAAAACGGCAACTGAGCTGTTCCTGCAGCAGTTAATGAGTTAATAGAATTACCACTATATGATTACTTTAAGAACTGTTAAATATTTTATCTCTACATTTATACATTAAAATTACTTGAAGATGGGCAATGCTGATAGGATCATTTAGATGTTTTTCTCCTCCACTTCGCCAATGGTAGTAGCCAGGATTTCTCAGGATCAAATTATCACAGTCTCGTTCATGGAAGGCAATACGATAACGTTCAAAGGCATCTTCTGCTAAAACTTTGAATGTAGCACCACCAAGACGAGATGCAGTGTTCTAAAAGTTAAATAAATTATTCTTTTTAAAGTGTTACATAAAAGGTGTGAAACATCAATGTTAAAGATCTTACCAAAGAAGTTTTAGTTAGTAAGTTAACCCTTTCACTGCAGCCACAGTGAATAATAATATAAAACTGACCATGATAGATATAAATAAATTTTGATTTATTTAGTGTGTGAACAAATCTGTTAATATCAGATCCATCGTGTACAAGAACCCGTTATATACATCTTTCTTGTCTTGGATAATGTCAGTTACGTCAAGGTCAAATGTGGAGTTAATGCTTTAAGAATCAAACAACAGTTTCATCTGCTAGAGTAATAAAGAACACTCAGACTGTTGAGAAAATATCAATAACAGAATAACAAACATGGTGTTTTAGTTGTCTTTATTACCACTGTGGACCTATATTTATGTAGAATTTGAGAAATACATAATGATGCAACTAATTTATCCTTCTGAATTTTTCAGCAAACAAGCTATTTATGATACTAAAAATAAATAAATATGAAAATCAATCTATCACATTTGATTAACAGTTTGTGTGCAGAATAATACGGAAGATAAAATTAATAGTATTATTTAAACATATTCTGGAAATACTAAATAATTATAGCTTCAATATGGTGAGAAAATCAACTATAAACTGTATGTATGTATATTATATGCGGCTCGCCAATATTAGACGCCTAGTCTCAGGTGAATAACATTATACACTGATCTTCATGTTCATTTTTAAATAATAAAAGTACTTGTGTATTACAAGTTTATACTAGGCAACAAAGGGTAGCCATTTACTGTTTAAAAGTATGAGACCCATTATACAGTAGATAAAAAGTCACGATTTATCAAAATATCATTGTCACTCAGTAGTTTAGAATTCCATTTACTAGGCAACAAATTTTTTGACTGGGCAACATTTCTGTCACCCAGTCACTATGTTAAAAAATGTTCTGTTGCATAGTAAAATAAATTTACTTCATGAAAACAACATATTACATTTGGAAGCTAAGCAAACAACACTCACCATTTTTTAAATATTTAAGTATAGCTCATAAAGACAGTTTTTAGGTATTTTGAAAGAGCCTCCCTCCCATTTTCTTTATTCTTCAACGAACCATAGAAAAGCCACAAAGTTCATTAAAATTTAACACAACAATAAAGTATTAAAGGAAATATGATCCAGATAACTCAGTTGACATCAACTAGCAAATATTACATAAATATCTATCTTGAAGAACAATCTTCTATAGAGAGAGAGAGAAATAACTTTCATCATTATACGACTAAAATATGGCATAGGTATACCAGGTTGCAGGCCCAAAATTAAATTTGTTTGTAAAAGTTTTGTTACCTACATATAAAACCCCTATTTTTTCAAGAGATTTTTTTAATCGAATTTAGATATTAAGATTTAGTGTTTACTGTACATCCATCAGCCTTACAACAATTTACATTATCATCAATAATTGTTAATTAGTAATTACTATTAAATTTACAGTGATAGGTATATTTTAGAGATTTTGTTAGCCTGCCTAAAATTCAGTTTTATCAACAGACATGCTCATCTTACCGTAAAGCATTTGTCAATAACCTCTTTATCTAGTCCAACGGCTTCAAAAATCTGTGCTCCTTTGTAACTATGCAGTGTAGAAATTCCCATTTTAGCCATCACCTAAATCATGGAATTTTCAGAATTAAGAGACAACTCAAAAGCAAAAAAAGTTGTATAATTATATTCAAAACTCAGTAAAGACTGCATACTTGTTGTTTTGAATAAGCTGGTGATGAAGCAGTAGGTTGTTAATTCAGGGTTTCATCCAATATCTAGAAAAAAAGGATTAACACTTAGTGCATTGGGAAGGATTTATTATATTATATAGAAATAAAACAGTGAATAATTTCTTCCTAATTATTATAAAATTAATTTCAATATTTGAAACCCAAATCCTAATGAAAACAGCAAAATGCAACCAACCCATAACTTCATGATGGTATTAGGAAGTGCTCCAAATGGCACCTACTGAAACACGTGGGCTAAACAATCAGGTCAGAGACGTCATCTAAAAGGTTCAGTTGTATTCATTTCCAACCTTAAAACAGTAAGCAGCACCCATATAGGATACCTGACTACCATGAATCAAGTAATGGGATTGACTATTTTATTACACCCATACAACTGAAAGCTTAGAGCATGTTCAGTAGAATATCATGACTTGAACCTTCAAGTTACAACCCAGCAAGCTAACCACTAGGCCTCACCAAGCCTCTACTAAATACGAGATTTAGAATTGGCCCTTAAGTGTATGAACATAAAATTACTGAAGCAAAAAAAATATATATATTAACTCTTGGGCATACATAATTGCTACGATTAGAATGAATTATGTTTTTTTCAATACGAGAAATCAAGCCCTGAAGAAGGGGTTAAATCAAAACGGCAATTATATAAAATGTTTATTAGGCCAGTGGGGTTTTACCTATATTAGGTCATCAAGAAAAGTTGGAGTTGCACCTGAAACTAGTGTCAGTTAACATTTAACTTTCTCATATCTGAAAAAAGTAGTGGTATCATAATAATGCATCAGTCTTAGTCATGATAGCTCAATTGGTAAAACATCATATAAATAAGCCAGACTAATAATATAAGAGAACAGTTAAACAATGTACATGATATTTTGTTTGAGAAAGCACAGCTTACACACCTTGGCAAGGCCTCTCCCCATAGCATCAACATAGTTTTTAAATATTTCTTGGTCTGACAAAGGAGGTTCCAAGAGGCCTTCAGAGCGGAGTTCCCTTACAATTTCAAACACCAAATAAGGACAGATGCCATCAGCTCCATATCCCACCAATACACACATTTGATGCACTTCCCTAGATGAGATATTTTTACCCTTAATAAAGATACTAGCATATTAAATGTAACCTACAGAAGCATAAACAAATATTTGAGATATAATTTATACAATTCCAATAAAACTTGTACACATTTTTCTCAACATTTTTTTTTTCTTGTTTATCAAGCAGAATTAATATGATTTTAGCCGAACTATTTACTATGTTATCATATGTTTTATTGCAGTTATTAGGAGGAAATCTAACATACAAACAAGTTCATATTCATTACTCAGACTAGCTTATCAGGATCTATCTCAAACTATTTCATGATCTCTATTACAAATACCAGTTATCCTCTTGTTCATAACAAGTCTTTTACTTTAGATGTCTGAAAAATGTGAGGAATGATAGAAAAAGGTTTTTTGGTTATTTTTTAAATAAAATATAACACAGTGACTTCCTTATTCTCACTGTTAGTTTTATAGGGACCAGATTCTTTACAGCAGGTGTCTGTGACTTGCTGCCAATAAATTAGAACAATAAACAGACAGCACACAATCCACTTATTTTAAAATACTCGCTTTAGGCAAGGAGGAAAATACAAAAGGTTCAAGTAATGCGACAAACTACAACATTACACAACGTATGGCTCTCACCAAGTTATGTAACAAAACTTGTCATAACTATTGCATTTAAAATAATTACTTTTGACACTCTTGTTCTGAAAACTAAATAATTATTAAATATTAGATCACTAAATGAAAAATAATAACTCTTACACCAAACAGTATTGTATATTCAACACTCACCTTGCTTCTCCTGTCTCAACCATGAGAGCTACTTTCATCCTCTGCCTTTTATTAATCAAGTAATGGTGGACTGCACCCACAGCTATTAAAGCACTGAAAAGGAGAATTTAAAATCAAATTAAGTCATTAAACTGAAGTATAAGCTAAACTCTCTTCTGTTAGCATTATCTTTACTTTCAACACTGACTTATTCTTTACATTCACAAGTTTGAGACACAAAAATATCAAATCTAACAGTAGTTGATCTTAGTGATAATTTCCAAATAGGTGTGAAGCAATGAAAGTGGAATATAAATTATGATTATAGTATTTATATAAGTGATATCGAGATATCGCATCAAAGAAAAAAATCATTGCATCATCATGACCTGTCTAAGTTAGAGATGACTTTTAGATTAATCAGTTATTCTTTTGAGTTGACTCAAGAACAAAAAATTAGTGTCGTTACCATGACTACCTGGTTAGTAGATCACTGAGCAATAAGATTTTTGAAACTATTTTGGATTTTATTGAAAGCTGAATAACTGCCACTTCTAGATCCAGCTTCTATTAATAATTTTTTTTTACCATTATCTTCATAATAATATGATTCATTGACATGTTAAATATAAAAAATCTTTTGCAATTTTCTTGAGATTGAAAAATACAGTAACCAACAATACTACTATAATAATATATCACCCTAATCTAATTCATTATTTGTTAAAAGTATCACTTACACATTTTTTAGGTCCTAAAATAAGCATTTAGTTTTGGAGAAATTCAAAGTTTGTTTTGTCAAACAGTAAAAAGTAAAAATTGAGTGAGAAATAGATCTAAATATACATTTTTTATGCACACTTTAAAACTACTAATTTTTATATCACTAGGCAATTCTAAAAATGGGTTCTCACTTATAATGGGTGTAACATCTGAACCTAAAATAATGATGAATGAAATTAATACAGTTAACAAAAGATAAACAAACATGAATGAATACACAAGTGGAAATAGTTAGTTGAAATGCCATTTCAGAAATAATTAGCTGTTACTCAACTACAAACCTGACAGGCATCATCTCTTTGGAAGCTTTCCTGTCCGACAGCATTAAAACAGTGTAACCTGTCCTAGCAGCATTACATGCTTCTTCACATATCCTGTCAATAGCAGGAACTAACCCTTTCGGCCCATCCGACACTGGGTAAACAATGTCAATTACTTTAGTCTGAAAAGGTAATTAGGAAAAAATCATTTTGTAGAATAATACTAAAAAAAAATGCAAATATAAAGTGATATACACAAGTAATAAGTAAACATTACTTTTTAAGAACTTTTGATTGTTACAACAAAGCCAAGCTAAAGTTATTAAAGCAATTAACTGAGTATTGTGTTTCCATTTCCTAAAAGATTGACATTTGTGTCCACCTTTCTACATAAATATGACCAAGAACGTTTTTCAGTTCCAGTAATCAGAACATTGTTTTGTTAAAATCTATTTAATTATAGCGAGTCATCTAAAATAAACAGTATTTAAATAATTAGAATTTATGACAAGTTAAACCTAAGTTGATAAAAAAAAGTCTAATATAAATTGTGTAAATAAAGTGATTTGGTAATCATAAATAGTTCAAGAAAAACATAAATTCTATTTCTCAATGATCATTTCATACCTTAACAAATAATTCCTCCATTCCATTATATACCATAATACTAGTATTACCATGCAATTTACCATATGCTTACCTTTATCATACATTTAATATTGCCAAAATCTCCACAATTTGGTTAATCAGAAACTTGGCATTTCCATTTGAAGTTTACACTTATTACTAAATACAACCAAAAATGTTTGTCTGTGTTTGTTTTCAGTGCTGGTGATCAGAAAATTATTTTGTTTCAGTTAAACACAATATTTAATTTTTACCGAGCCATTTAACAATGTTAAACAACAAAAGTATGTAGAATACAAGTTAAATGTATTAACCCTAATTTAATTATACACATCCTTAAGATTATACCTTCCATCCTTTGAAAGATATGTTTTTAATGACCCCAACATCTTCTAAAGAAAGAATTGGTTGCTCTAACCATAACCTTCTACACTGTGCTGGACTTGGCTGAAGAATATTTGTTTCAGGACCAACTGGACAAGCCTAGTATAAAGCAAGATTAAATTAGTGTTTATATCTAGATGTTACATGATAATATCTGCAATTGAAGTTGTTAATTATGTATTCTAATGTGCAAGAAGAGTATATATATTACTTTGACATTATTATCAATACTGAATGTTAACCCACAAAATAAATTGGTTAAAAGTTAATAATGAGTACTTGTATAACAAGTTTTTAACTGCTTACCAAAGACATCACAATTCGTTCCCGGAAGGGGTCAATAGGTGGGTTAGTAACTTGGGCAAAAAGCTGCTTGAAGTAATCATATGTTAAAGGCTGATACAGTGATAAACAGGCCAAAGGAGCATCATTCCCCATGGAGCCTAAAGCTTCTTTCCTATATTTCCAGTAAACCAGAATTTTATTTAATAACAACAATTATAAATAAAAATTAATTTAGATAAATGAGAATGAGCATTGGAATACAAATTTACAATTTTGTGCTGAAATATTTAATTCCCAAAGCTATATGTTTACTTACAACCTAAATGCACACAATGGTATTAGGTCATCAAGAAATTAATGTCGCTTTTTTTTAGATGAAAAAACCCAAACAACTTGTATATCAAAACAAAACATTTATTAA